TTGAGCGATCCACCCATCTCGGCCTCCCAGAGTGCTAGGATTACAGGCGTGAGCCACCGTGCCCAGCCTGACTTGCCTTCTTGAATGGAACCTCTCCGGGGTCGCCTCCGTGCACTGTCCCCACAGTTTGGCTGGAAACAAAAAGGCAGGACTCCCCAAAATGACCTCTACCATGTCTGGTCACGGGCAGGGGACTGTCCTTCGATGCTGACCCCGACCAACACCTGCCCGGCCACACCGACCTAAAATGCTGTGTTTCTCTTCCAGGGAGCGAAGCTTGGATTCCGAGCCTCTCAGCGCTGGGGACAGCCGGGCCTTGCGCACAGGTCAGTGCCGCAATGTTTTTCTTTATTCCACATTCACAGTTGAAGCTGGCGTTCAGTCACCTCTTTGGGACGTGGGGCTGCCGTCGGGGTGGGCGCGTTGCCTTTGACAACTGTGTGTCAGCGGCTCATCTTATCCGCCGAGAGTGTGTTTCCTGCTCTCCAAGCAGGGTGCGCGGCGCTGGTAAGGCGCACGGCTGTGCCCCTGCCTGTCCAGGGTCTCCCATCCTAGGGGTTTTGCAGAAGGAGGCTTCAGCCATCACCACCATCCCAATCACATGGAGGATGACACATCAATGGTCCCCGCCCAGGGCAGAGCTGAGTCTCTGGACACCATACGTGTCTGAAATGCACCGTCCACCCTGGCGGGATGGCAGCCTGGGGACGCTCCAGTGACCGATGGTGTTTTAGTCTGTTTGCATTGCTGTAAAGGAATGCCCGAGGCTGGGTGATGTCTAAAAACAGGGTTTATTTGATTCGCGGTTCTGCAGGCTGTGCAAGGAGCGTGGCGCCGGCACCTGCTTCTGGCGAGGGACTCAGGCTGCCTCTGCTCACGGAGGAAAGCCCAGGGGAGCAGGGGTGCCAGTGGTGGGAGGGAGGCAGGCAGGGCGGGAGCGGCGCGAGGAGGTGCTGGGCTTTTTTATTTTATTTTATTTTTTTGTAAATAAGCTCTCTCAGGAACAAATAGAGCAAAAATGCAATCCTTACCCTGAGAACGGCACCATGCCACTCCTGAGGGATCTGCCACCGGCTATATCATCTGGGAAGATTCTTTTGAACAAGTTAGGAGCAGAGCTGAGACTCTAATGCTGGTCCCTTAGCTCTCCTCTGTTTGGTTGCTTCTGAAGGGTTTTGAGAGGCTTTTAAAATGTACGAGGAGGAAATCATTTAAAGATAAATTATTCGCCTTTGCTTTGTTAGTGTAAACAAGAAATAAACACACACACACACACACACACATACACAAGTCAGAGAAGAAGGCAGAATTCCCAGGAAAGGCAGATTTGTAGGGACAGGATGGTGAGCTGTGGTGGCCAGAGGTGGGGGCCGTCCGCGTGCCCCAGGGGTCTCTCGGGGGTGATGGGATGGTTCAGGACTGTGTGGCGGGGGTGGCCACATGACTCGGTGAACTTAATAAAAAAATCTTTGAGTTGCACACTGCAGTTAAATTGTATGACATGTAAACCGTACCTTGGTAAAGTTGCAACATAGATATTTTAGCTCAGCCCACTAGAAATCATTGTGGTCTCATCCGTAGTAGACATTTTTTAAGCCTCAAGCAGCAACCTTATCGCTCACCTCCCTGGCAGCAGTGACAAGCCACCGTGTCATGGGCAGTAACTCCAGAGCAGACTTACTTACAAAGAAAAGGACGTACACGCATGTAGACATGAGTTAAACGACCCCAGTGTCTGTCGAGGGGTGAATGGACAAAATAGAGCTGTCCATCCACACACTGGAGTATCACTCAGCCAGGAAAAGGGACGAGGCTCTGACACAGGCCACAGCGTGGAGGGACCTCGAGGACATTTGCTCAGTGAGAGACGCCGGACACAGAAGGACACACAGTGTGAGACTCCATTTGTGTGAAATGTCCAAAACAGGCAGAGCCACAGAGACGGGTCGTGGATTCATGGTTGCCAGGGGCTGAGGGAGAGGGTGGGAGTGACTGCTGATGGGGTTGGGGCTTCTTTTTGGGGTGATAGAATGTTCTGGAATTAGAGGTGACAGTTGCGCAACTCTTTGAACATACTAAATACCACTGAATTGCGTATTTTCAATGGGTGGATTGTGTGGCATGTGAGTTGTATCTCAGTAAAGCTGATGTCTGTATATATAGAGAGTTGTTTTATGCATATAAAGCATGGATATAAAAAGCTTTTACATAGATATAAAAGAATCCAAACATAAAAATATAAAAAGACATCATATTGTATGATTCCA